GGGTACAGAATGAGCCGCGGCTCTCGGCCTCTGCGGACGGGGCTGCCCGCAGGTAGGAAGCCGACACCCGCCCATGTGCAGGGCTCTGCCGGTAAGTTGCTCTCGCGTAGGGCAAATTGACAGAGAACGCCACCGACAGCCACTGCGTTCTAGCTTCACCCTAGCGTCTCGTACTGTAGTACGCTGCAGGGTGGTGACAGCTGTTACTAGGGGATATGGAGCCGAAGTGCCTACCGAAGTAGAATACTATTGTATCTGTTACTGCAGAGCATTATAGTACTCATTAGTATGGTATTAATATCGGGGTAATACTCTGTTACTTATTATTGCAGAGCAATTGAACAATTGAGTCTTGCCTGTTGTCATACTGGTCACTGCGGACGATGTATTTATGCACGATACTGGCTGCAGTGGAATACTGTCGTGCTTGAGTACAGGTCACTGCTGTAATTATTGCTATGGGATTCGATGCTGCCTAATACTGTGTTGCCGTGGCATTTGTTTCGGCAGTAACAGTACTACAGTATTCTACAGCATGCTGTAGTGCCCGTCCCCGGTATTCAGTCCTATGGAACATGCATTCTTTTTCGATATGAGCAACAGCTGAGACGGTGCCTTCTGCATTTCACCGCTAAGGCCCCAATGTACGGCCGGCCCCACTCCACAAAGGTTTTGCCCACCCCTCTCTTGCAAGCAAGACGGGGAAAGCAACCTCCCAGGGCCCTGGAAACAGCCAAACTAGCTCTGGGGTGGCCTGAAAACCTTTCTTTTAAGGCACAAATTGCCGTGTCAATGGAATACCAAAACGCCTGTGCCGCGCGGTGCCGTTTCTGTGGCAACAGCAAATGCTGGAGAGTCAGGAGACATGGGGGAAAAAAAGAAGCTTATTCTTGGGGAGGGGAAAAAAAATAACGTTTCACATTAAATAGCATCACCGTGGTAACCATCCTGCGGAACGGATCCTGAATCGGTGACTGCGTTCCAGAGGGAGTGATTCACTCCACGGCTCCTCGGGCTTTGCTTTGGAGGGTCCATACTGATTTGGGGGGTACAGCTGCCTCCCTGCCCATCCTCCCACTGCTTTGTGGGAACAGGCCTGAAATCTCCCAGGACTCCCTGCTGCTCCGACCCCTCGCACCCATTCTCTAAGGAGACCTAGGGGGCGGGGAAGGAGGTTCTTTCTCCATGTGCTGCCTGGTTCAGGTGTCTCAGGCTGGGGGGGCACCGGTGGGCTGAGAGGCCGAGGGGCTCAGATCCCGCTGAAGGATTTTGACCACAGCGGGAGCTGGATTTGAACCTGACTCTTTTAGTTACCTACAGAGGCAGCAGGCACAGCGCCCACACACACACCCCGTCCACCCCGGGCTGTTCCCACTGATTTTCCACGCTCCACAGGACACGTGCCATGAGTCCTCTACGGAAGCAGCCAGCCAAGGGGCCTACTTTGGAGGATGTAAAGAGGCTGGGGGGCAGCCGGGACGAGATGGCAGCCGCCGGGCTGACCCGGGA